GCGTTGAAAAAAAAAAAAAAAAAGTATCTCCCTGGTACCTTGTTTCGGTGGGCACGGGATAAAAATTTCTCGGGCACGTTGGGCGGGCTAACGCGGAGAAGGGAGGACACACAAAGGGGTGGGGCTGGGAGTGACATGCTGGAGAGAGGAGGGGTCCCCTCACCTTTGAAGGAGCCCCTCCCCCTCCTCACCTCCACCTCCTGCAGCTTGCTGTAGTCAGGACCCCAGAAGACCACCCTCCGATCGCGGCCGCCTCCGGACACCAGCGTCCCGTCCCGCAGGGCGCAGAGCCCAAACACGCCACCATCGTGGGCGCCCGGCACCACCTGTGTGATGCGGTTTCCACCTGTGGGATGGGCAGGGGCAGGGGTCAGCATGGGGAAGCTTCCCCTGTACTGACCCCCGAAAGCACCTCACACTCTCAATCCTGCACCCAGCCATTCACCACCTTTCCTTCTATCCACCCTTCCACTCACCTGTTCCAATACCCTGCCCTCCACCCATTCAACCATCAGAACTAACATCTTCTCCTCCACCCATCCACCCTTTGATCCATCTAACCGCATCCATTCATCCACTCACCTATCTACTGGTCTGTCCATCCACCGCTTCATTCCTCAGCCACACATCTACTCATCTGTCCATTCATCCAGACAGCCATCCTTCCTTCCTTCCTGGCACCCATCCATCCATCTCTCATCCATTCATTCACCCTGTTTTATCCAAGTACTCACTCACCAATCAATCCATCCTTCTAGCCAACCATCCACACTTCTCCATCTGTCCATTACACTCATCTACCCACTTACATGTCAATCTAGCCATCCGTTTATTCATTCATTAACCCATTCAATAATTATTTAATTAACATTTACTCTGAGCCCAGCCATTGGTTAGAACAATAAACTCATTTATTCATTTATTCAGTAATCAACCCACTTCCTAGAACAATCCAGTCTTTATAACACATTCATCTATTGGCTGAGATAACCAATCATTCATTTATCACTTTATAGATCCACTGAAAAAACTTACTCATTCATTAATACAGTCATACATTAGGGGGATAACCATTCATTTTTTTAGTTGTCTACTCACCTAGTCATCCAATATTAAGTAGGACAACATTCATTTACTCAATTCTTTTATTCATTTACTCATTCTTTCATTCATTGGCTAGAACAACCCCTTCATTCCCTCATTTACTCATTCATTTCTCTGGGACAGACCACTTTTCTATCTATCTATCCATCCATACACAACTAGGTTAAACCATTTATTAATAGTTCAAACTTGATCCCTAATATGGGATTTGCAGAGAACAAGGGCAGGAAATAAGTCAAGATGTCACGGAGGTGGGATATTGGAACTAGGCCTTGATGGGGGTGTTGGAATTGAACAGGTAAGGATTTAGCCTGTTTAATCATACATTCCACACAGCAGAGTCAGAGGAAGGGAGACACAGCTAAAGGGGGTTAGGGAGGACTGGGTTGGGGGCCAAACAGGTGGGATGACACTGACCTTTGCCCCAGACATAGAGGTTCCCTCCAGAGTCCCCGGTGACGACATCGCCACCCTCCAGAAAGGTCACACACAGCACGTACTTGGGTTTCTCGTGTTTCTGAGGTGGGGGAGGAGGGGAAGGTGTCAAGGTCGCCAAGCTGGGTGGCCTCCCGAGCTTACCTATCGCCCAGGACCCCTCCGTGCTTTTGGGTGAGGACCTGTGTAGCATCCCCATCTCCAACCCACCTCCGTGGAGTGCTCACGTCATCCAGTTTCTGACCCCATT